TCTTTTGATTTTTCCTTCTATCTTGAGTTCTGTTTATGTGCTCCTAACTTTTTCTTTGTAGGGATAAATGTGCTTGCTATTAAGCCCTATATAGTGCTTAATGAAATGTTTGCAGGAGCGTTTGATAAGTTACTCAAGGCGTTGAATTCTTCCAATTGAGAGAAGGAGTATGGTCGAGCGGGACCTTGATAAACTAGCGCTTTGCGGGAGGCAACCCGTACATTAATTTGCTTTTTAGTTTAGTTTTTTCTTATTTTTGTGTGTGTGTTTTATTTTTTTTTCTTTTAGAGAGGTAAGGAGAGTGTAACTTATGCTTTGTGGGAGTTTGTTTTTGTGCAGATTTTGAGCTAGAGAAAGTTTCATTCACGCTGGAACTGCACTCGTATTCGATCAGGCAGAGCTCGCCCGATCGGGCGCGCGTACGCGTTAGCAAACTTTGTCAATTTCGACAGGCCATAACTTTTGCGTTTCTTATCCGATTTTTGCGTGTGACCTGTCGTTGGAAAGCTATTCAAGTCTAGTTTCCAATGAAATTAGAATCACTGTATTATCATTTATACATCAAAAGTTATGATCAGAATAGTGCACCTAACTCAAATTTGAACTTTTTCCCACTAACACTTTGTTTCTTTCTTGCCCAATTTTGTTCCAAAGAGATGCATTGCAATCCTCGAGGCTTTGGTGAAATTGATGTGGTGATGATGAAGAGTAGTTACCTTGACTACTAGCTTCCCTTTAAGACAATGAGGACATTGTCTGATTTAGCTTGGGGGGAGGTTCTTGTGTTCGTATGGTACATCTTTCACTCTCTCTCTTCTCTTTTTTATTTTTATTTTTCTTAGTATAGATTTTATTACTTTCTTAGGTTAGTTTTGTTCCAATGAATTGTAAATCATGCTTCCCTGTGTCCCTTACGAACACGAGAAAAATTGTTTTGATTCCTGGTATTTGATGATAAGCATTGTGGATTAGTTGATCATGATTTGATGTTTGATTGTCTTGAAACCTTAACATGCGTCAATTTTGTCCAACTATTTGTGAAAATAGTGCTTGACTAGTTGATTTGGTAAGGAATGTGTGATAGTTCCATAATTCCTGGTATGTCAATGAATTTGAGTATTGGTTTGCTACTATTAGTAATATTTATATGATTCATTATTATGCACATTGTGGAGGACGAAGGCATTTGTTCTTTTAGGTAGCCTCCAGATATTGTAGATACTTTTGTTCCTTTCTTGCTACCCATGTTGTTGCCTTGACTTTTTATTGTTTATTTAGCCACATTACAAGCCTATTTTGCCCCATTGGTACTAGTCTCAAGCTTGGCTTGGGGGAGCTATTAGTGAATGAGGTGAGGGAGTTTGTAGTGTGCTTATTATTTGCACAATTTGGGTGGGTTTTGAGAAGTTATTTTGTTCTTGATCGTATGTTTATTTTTGATGAGTTTGAAAGTTTAATCTTCTTGAAAAAATAAAGTATGATGTTATGAAAAAAAAAGTGAAAAAAAAATGAACTTCAATAGGAAAAAAAAAAGAGCAAAAGAAAAAAAATTGTTTAACGTTCAAATGTTCTAGTTGGAGGTTGATAAAAAAAAAATTTAGAAGTTGAGTTTCATGAAAAATTTCATGTTTGTTAGTAAAGTTTGTTTATTCACTCAAGTCTTACATTATTATATTTTAGGAGTGAAATTGTAAGTGTTGGAAATTATTTGATATTGTTGGAGTTGTGTTTGGTGAATTTTTGGTGGACTTGAGTATGTTGGAGATTTGTTGGTCATTATTTATTTTTGACCTTGGTTTTATTAGGATTTGGCTCCCTTAAGCATGGCTTTACTCTTACATTTTTTCCAAATTTATCCTACCCTTTACCCTAGCCTTACATTACAAGCTTTAAAGACCTTCCGGCTTTTATGCATAGAGTTGTATGAACGTGAAAGTGTTGTTTTTCAATGCAAGTTATGACTTGACATATTTCGAGTCGACTAGTAGGATGAGCGTTCAATGTTTTTATACACACGAGAGTGTGAGTTGGGAGGGAATTGTTCACATTAAAGGGGTTGGGTGGAGAGCGATCGAGTACATTCTTTACTCACCACATAAATGAGAGTCGAGTGTGTGAGCACTAGTCTTGAATTCTATATGCTCTTGTGGTTTGCTCTACTTGACAATTGTTGGGGAGGAAGGGTGATTAGATGAATAAGATTGATTGATGTTGAAGCATGTTTGTTTAATTTTACCTTGAATCGTTGGTTTTTGATTTGTTTATTGGGGTGAAGTATGTTTTATATGTTCATTGATGAGCTCTTTGCTTAGGGACAAGCAAAGGTTTGGCTTGGGGAGTTTGATATGTCTATTTTATATAGTGTTTTACCCCCGTCCCTTGGTCATAATTAGTAGTGTTTTTGGCCCTTTAGGGCCACTTTTATTACTAATATGTGTTTTCTAGTGTTTTCGTAGTTTTGGTTAAGTTTTGCAGGGAATTGCACCTTTGGAGCATTTTCCCGGGATTTTTATGAAGCGACTACGAGCATTGGAGGAACACGACCACTTTTGGAGCCCAAGGCTGGCTAGAGCCATCGAGCCGGTGATTAAGGGCTCGGTTATTTGGATCACGAGGCAATTGGACCATGTATTCGAGACCCGAGAGGAAATATGGATTGGGCCGAGAAATCTAGCCCAATCGAAGTCCAAGCCTTGGAGATGAAGACCGGGCCCGATCGGGCGGTTGCGCGCATGAAGGCTATCAAGAAAGGCGCGCCCGATCGGGTGAGCGTGAGCTCGATCGGGCGCGACACTTTAGACTGGGCATAGAAAAAAAGGCGGGCCCGATCGGGCGCGTGTTTTTCCTAGTGTCTGATTTAGTTTAGTTAATTCTTGTTTTAGGGGAAGTATATATACGTTTTGTACGGATTATTTACTTACCTTCTTTCTCTTAGACTTTCTCTCTCTACTTAGTATTTTTCTCTCTCTTAAATTCTCTCTAACTCTTGTTCTTAATTCCTTCATTAATTCCAGATTTAGTTTGGTACAATTTCTTCCCTTTTTAATTTCAGCTATTTTAATTATTTTCTTGTTTATGTTTTTAATTATTTATTTGATTGGATTAGTTATGAAGATTAGTGAGTAGTTTAATTCTAGGGTTTATGGGGATCCATAATTAATATGAAGGGATAGTTTGTTATTATTGATTATTGATATTGCATGATAATTTCCTATTGAATTGTTTTAATTCTTTGCAATTAGATTATGAATCGAGCAGATGTAATTTGATTGTGAATGTTTAGCAATATTGAATTGATGAATCGAGCAAATGTTGATTTAATATTAAAGGCTATTTTTAATAGGAACTTAGGTCTAATAAATTGCGAGAGCCTGTTAGATCTATGTTGGTTAATAAATTGCGAGAGCTTGTTAATCATATTATCTATGCATTATTAATTACTTCGTTCTATCCCGCAATATTAATTATTGGTGAACCTGTGACCCTAGGTTTCCTTATTATTGATTCTTTTCTCCCTAAACTCATTCTTCGTAGTATAGAATTCACATTCAAAATATTGGTTACTTAGATAATTTAGATTATATTAATTAATTAGAATTAAAAAGACCTGTTTCCCTTTGGAGTTCGACCCTACTTCCCTATCTACCTTAATTAGTGATTTAGGTAATTATTTTTGATTAGGGGATACGACTTTACCCTGTCATTGCTCCATTTCCTTTTTTTTTGAAAATTTTACTAATATTTTAATAATTTTTCACCCACTAGTGATCTCCTATTCTCCTAATATCATATTTTAATATTTTTCATATACTGTCTCCTCCCCGCTTATGCTCACTTTTGGTTTTTCAGATTTTTTTAATTCTTCCACCTATCCCACTTCAATCATAAATTTATCCTTTTATTTTATTTCCTTAAAGTCTTTATCCAAAAATATGGAGCAATTAATTAAATAAGGAGGGAGTATCTACGTAGTATATTAAGGGTGTGTTCTATTCACCGGATTTTTACTTATCTGAACTTATCTGATCCTATTAACCCTTATTAGAACTTATTTTAGTTATATCGTAGAAAAAAAACCCTAGCCTCCTTTTCTCTCTTCTCTCTCCTAACCTAGTCTCCATTATCAATTTTAAAGGGGCTTCCATCGGATTTCACCGGTGGAAAGCCCCAATTTTTATTTTCTTTTAAGCCTTTTATTTTAGGTTATAATAATGTCTCTTTCGAAAGAAAGGGTTTATCTCCTTCGAAAGACAAGGTTTTTTCGATCTCCTTCGAAAGACAAGGTTTTATTTGTGCTTAATTTGGTCTCCGGTTGTGCAGGGCTACTATTGATTGTGGCTCGGATTCGGGTTACGGAATCAGTACAAGAATTTACTTTCTCACAAAATTGCGAAGCGACGACGGATCCACTCAAAAAGTTGTACGAGACAACGAATCGAGAATATGCCGAATTGTTATATTTATGTATTTAAATTCTTAGCCCTTCCCCAATTAATTCTTGTTTGATTTTGTTAAGTTCGTTTCATTATCGTTCATTGTCAATTGTAGATGTCGTATGACTTATATTAATGAAATTTAGTGTCCTTAAGGACTTTTTTCAAAAAAAAAAGAACTTATTTTAGTTATAAATTAAACTTGGCATTCCTGATTAACCCTTATCACAACTTATCTGAACTTATTTTTCCTAAACTTATCTTATCTAAACTTATTAATACTTATCCGAACTTATCAACCCTGAAATAAGTGGAAATAAGGTAAATAAAACAGGGCCTAAAATCTCATCCGTTACTCGTGTACAAATCGCAAAATCAGGTCGCACCAAGTAGCAGTTCGTGTCGGGTTCTCGAATCGGGTCATACTCATATCCGTTTTAACTTTCATAGCTCCAGTCTCTACTTAGGATTGGAATGATGTACCACTTCGGCATGATCTTATGAAGCACTCTCTCACTTGGGGTAACCAACTTTCACACTCAAACCCCAAACCAAGATTTCAATGAGATGGGAAGCTTAACAAGCAGCAAATCAAGGCCATTTCATCAACCAACACCCTGTACTCGCACTCACCAGATTGGTGCCTTAGCCCTTGTTGCAACCACCTTCTTCCTCACTCGTCTCTTCGATCAATCCTTCAACCCTGAGCTCCAATCCCCTGCTTCGCACCCCACCAAACCCACTTCCATCAGCTTCAATCCTAACCGTCCATTCTCTTGGCCTGAACCAGGTTATGGGTCCCACCTTAATCTCAAGATCTATGTCTATGATGAGAATGAGATTCATGGGTTGAAGCTTTTGATGTACGGTCGTGATGGTAATATTTCTCCTGATGCGTGTGTTAAAGGCCAATGGGGCACTCAGGTTATTATACTCTTTTTTTGAAATAATTATTATTAAATGTTATTGTTCAATTTATGTTGTTGCAAATGCATTAGTGGAATTGATGGTTTGAATTTTTGGTGTTTAAACATAGTGGGTAATGTTTGGTTTTGTGATTGAGTTTAAATTCCATTTTTTCTTTTATCTTTTTTTGTTTTTTTTGTTTTTTTTTTTTTTTTTTGAATTAGTTATTATTAAATGTTATTGTTCAATTTATGTTGTTGCAAAATGTTATTATTGTAATTGATTATTAGAATTTTTGCTGATGAAAATGGTGGGTAATTGTTGGTTTTGTGATTGGGTTTAAATAGAGTAATGAGAATGAGTTTAAGTGTAATTTGACAAGAAATGTGATATTGTACTAATGCAATTGCATTACGAAATGTGTGTTATGCTTCAGAAATGTTCATTGCCACCCAATACTACACCCCAAGTGGTAATGAAAGTTTGCAAAGAAAAAAAATTATTATTGGTCAAATTATATTGTGAATGGAATGAATATTGATGCTAATGTATGCTCATTACCACTATTTACTACCACTTACCAAATGGGAATTGTGTTGCGATGAAGATCATTTGAGTTGTATTAGTTTTTGGAGAAGTGTGGGGACTGTGGAACTAAGTTAAAATTTAATCAATGTAGAAAAATATGTTGAAAGTGTTTTCCTTGTAGAATTTTGCATAGTTTATTGCCATATTGGGTAATTTATTTCCTTCATTCAAACAGGACGTTGAGTAAAAGGTTGTGATTAATTTAGAATGTGAGGTTGGAAAATGTGTAGTTCTATTACTCTTTGAACTGGCATAAACCAAAAAAACCTAGGAATGCTCCTTTTTTTACCTTGAACAATGGTGATTATTATATGTCAGAAACTATGTATCACTGGAAACTATAGACGGTGTTATGTATTGTCACCAATGCAAAGATTAGGAGAAAAGTCTGTTTGATTTAAGTTATGTAAGGCTTGCAATAATTAATGATGGGTTCCTGATTACCTGATAATGTTAAAGATGTATCGAATATATTTGTAGTTTCAAGGATTCAATTAAGGATTTTGATTTTTTTTCACAAGGATGTTCATGTAATTTAGATGAAATTTTGAGTACTAGAATATTGCATTCTGTTTGAGTATCGATGGTAAGACACTTGTACCAGATGTTGGATGAAGAGTCAGACTAAAATAGCTTGTTAAAGGTTAGCAAGGGTTATTAATCAAAGGTTATACATTTTAAAGTTCAAAGTGCAAAGGTCTGATGTTAAGGACGCTTCCATCGTCTCTCTCTAGACAAACACTGTTGTCTTGCTGCCTCGTATATGTTCCATATATTGGCCAATGTCCAAACCTGTTCTAGCTAAAAAGTTATAAATTTGGTTTGTTATTTTCCATTATGTGATTCTGCTTGTCATTATTTTTGCCTTCTAAATGTAGGTCAAAATACATAAGTTGTTTATGAAGTCTAAGTTCCGGACCATGAATAAAGAGGAGGCAGATCTTTTTTTTGTTCCAGCTTATGCAAAATGTGTTCGGATGATGGGAGGTCTAAAGGACAAGGAGATTAACAGTACATATGTCAAGGTAAGAACCTTTTTCCTGCACTCTTCACAGTGGCGCTTTCATTTTCTAATCTGTATGTCAGTATAGTTTTCTTCTTCTTTTTGAAAATTATTCCTGATTGTGTTTTCATTGAAGTTTGCAATTTTCTTTTAGGTACTAAGTGAGATGCCATACTTCAGGCTCTCTGGTGGCCGTAACCACATATTTGTCTTCCCAAGGTATGCTGTTATGTAAAGGAATTTATGTATTGAAAGGTTGTTTTGTAATGAAGAATGAAAGATGATTTTACTTAGCTATTTAATTTTATATGCATTTTCATGCGTACTCAAGTGTGTTTAGTCAATGTTAGAAACATTATCATATATACAGTAGAACCCAGTTATAATTTGATATTCTGATTTTCTTTAATTGACTTGACTTGCATTACACTAATGCTTCAATGTCATGAGCACTTTTATCCAGCCTCTCTGCACTCTCTCTCCTAAGACCTAGCTCTCTCTCTTTTTTTTAATTACCTCGGGCTTATGTTGTTCCTTTTGGAGTCCAGTTAGAAACATTTTCTAGAAAAATGCTACAAAGTAGCCTGGTAGGTACATGGTAAAAAATGTCTGCGATAATGACCTTGATTTTCACTTGTGTTAAATTTCATGTCTGCTTCTCTTTGGCTTTGTAGACTTGTAATTTGTTGTATCCATGAATAAGCTAGACCCTTCTCTATGAGTGTAATAATATCTAGAGATAGTAGTGTGTTATAATGGCATTTGTTGCTTTGTTGGTTGACTTGGTATGTGAGTTCGTCTATCTACGTTGCCGTTTGATTAAGCTAATGACATTGCTTAACCTGGACCTGCATCCAAACAAGGTGTCTAAGATTATTGTTTTAGTATAGGAATGATATCATGTCTGTATATGGTGTTACTAGATGACGTACAATGTTCATGAAGTTACTAGATGACGTGCAATGTTCACGAAGTTATTCATATTTGTGTTGCATCTTGTCATGTTGTAATGTTCATGAATTATTTGTTGCTGAATATATGTTCTTTGTGTGTTGTGCTAGTAGAATGTGTCCCCGAATGCTAGTTTTACATTATTTGTTTTAATTATACCTTTCCCGTGTGTAGTGGTGCCGGTGCTCATTTGTTCAAGTCGTGGGCTACATTTTTGAATCGATCAATCATTCTTACTCCTGAGGTATCTTCATAAGTTTGTCCTGAAATTGAAATCTCATAATTTTGATTTGAAACTTATGTTGTAAATTAGAGGTTTCAAACTAATTAAAGCATGTTCACATTTACTGAGCTGAATTGATTGGAACTGAACGGAACTGAACAGAACAGAATAGAGCTGAAATGAATATTTTATGAGAGAAGGAAATTAGGAACTGAACTGATTGGAGCTGAACTGAAATTAAGCTGAAGTGAATAGGCCCTTAGTAAATCAAAGGCTGGTTTTTCTTAAAGATCTGTAGAAGACTTGTTTTCTGTTCATTTTGTGAGATGTGTACAACCTGCACATGCTCAGCTTTTCTTAAAACACTTATAACGGTGAAAAAATAAAGTGTGAATCTTTTATTTAAAATTTGCCTCTGTCCTTTTGCCCACCCTACCTTAGGCAGGAACCTACTTTCTAGAGTCATCATCAGAAGAATGATCTTAATGTTAAGTTTGATGTTGAACTGTTTGTTATTGTTTGTATATGAATTGTCTTAAGTTTTAAACCTAAAGTCAGATGCATCTTAAATCCCAAAGTATATATTATAACCAAACCACTCATGCATCCATATCAAAGTGCAAGGGAACCAAAATCCATGATGACCCCAGTTTTCAAAATCAAGAAGTATCTCAGCTAGAAAAACATAAAGATCCTTTACGGTATGTTTGGATAAAGAAAGGGGAAGGAAGGGGGGGGGGGGGAGGGGAGAGAAAGGGAGAAGAAAGAATGGTGAGTTTTCCTTCCAAATCACTCAATTGAGGGATCAATTTCTTACAATTTAATCTCTTTATTTCTCTTCCCTCCAATTTCCTTCCTTCATCATTTGTTATCCAAATGAAGGATACCCCATCTCTCCTTTTCCCTTCCCTTCCTTTTCCTATATTTCCTTCAATCCAAACACACTATTAATTTGGAGACATCGAGTAAGAATGCCGAAGCTAGATACATTACTAGTTTGTGATTCATTTACCTTCCAATGCATTAATGGTTGTTATTTTAAACAATGTGTCCTTGCTGGAAAAATCATGCTTGTAACTGTATCGCACCCTCTTATCAAAGCAAATCACTAGCCTAATAACCTAAACTAGTGGATGGTTAGTCTATTGAATAACGGGTGTGTTTGGTTGAACTTTGGAATGGACTAGGATGGAGTTAGAATCATTATAATGTTTGTTTGGTTTTTTTTGAAAGTGGAATCCCATAAGTCATACCTGTGGTTTTCCAATTGCACCCCAATCTACTAGAACTCTGTGATAGATAATTAAAACCGACAACCACACAATGCAAACTTGTAAAGGAATTGTTTGATTTGATTTCCTGATATGACATTTATTGTTGTTGATATGCATACATTCCTAATATCCTGGAAAAATATGACTCCTAACCTAAATCAAACTTAAATAACAATAGTTCTAATGTAGCTTTTGTGCTAGGGTCTCATATTATCTAAAGAAGTGTCGAAAAATCTAGACCAAAACAAATTTTAATCCTAAAGAGAAGAGCTGGTACGCAGCCTATTTTGTGGGTGAATATAAGAACAAAGAACTTTCATGTAAAAAAATCCTAAGCGACCCTTCATCTACTCACGTTGGAACAATCCTTTCAGTGGTCTAAGTCTAGGGGTGTTAACGAGCCGAGACCGAGCTTCTCTAGGCTCGGCTCGAGCTCGACTTCGGTGAGCTTAGGCTCGGCTCGAAACCCTGAAACATGAGCTCGGCTCGGGGCTCGTTCATAAGTTGTTGAGTCTGGTATCACATATGCTTGTTTTCATCAAATATTCCCTTTTCCAGCCTGCATACACCCACAATCATATTAATTCTATCAAAATATGCATGTTAGGTGGATTGCAGATCTTGTAATTATATCAAAATTTAATCATTGCAAAACAAAAAATGAAAAAAATTAGATCGAAAAACCTGTAATTACCTAGAAGAATAGAAGTGGTGGTCGGTTTTTGGCGATTCAGAGCATTCTACCACCGTTATCTTCGACCGAAGTCTCGTTCGTTGTAGCAGAAAGGGGGGATTCAGAATTTCAGATGGGAGATGCAAAGGTGGAAAGAGGCTAGGGTTTTAGAGTTGGTGTTTTGTTCTAAGTGGTGTATGCATTCACCGGTAACTCAATAAGGGAATTGGGCCCAATTTAGGAAAAGTCCAAATAAGACAATTGACCCCATAATGTAGTTTTTACGAAGTAATTAATACTCCATAATTTAATTTAGCTAAACTTATAAAAAATTATTTATGTATAAAAAAATATTCGAGCTTGTTCACGAGCTTTCGAGCCGAGCCATGGGTGGCTTAGGCTTGGCTTGTTAAGATATCGAGCCGAGCTTTAACCGAGCTTTGACCGAGCCGAGCATCGAACAGTTCACGAGCAGGCTCGGCTCTTTAACACCCCTAGGTCTAACCAAAACCAAATTCTGAGTAAAATAGGCATAAAATTAAACTTATGCTAGTTGAACAAAGATGAATGCTTGAAGCTTGCAATAGGAGATAATCAAGCGAAATTATGCATTCCCATGCAAGGAACATACTCAACAAGCTCCATTAAGCAACCTATCTGTATCTAAGATTCTTTCCGCTTTATACTTCACAAAACATAGTGCTACCCAAAAAACAGTTGCAAATCAAGCAAAATGGTGCTAGGTAGGTGCTGCAAACAAAAGAGTTAACTCAGATCAGAAACTGAAAGCAACCCATAATGAAGTCTAGAGCCATGAAGCTGCTTTTTGAACTTTATAGAACTTTTGCAAGTTATTTTGATTCTTCATTTTGTGTTCTGTACCCGTTTTGCCGTGTTGGACACTTGACACTCCAACATGGGTATAGAATCCTTACCGACACTTGAATGCACACCAAAACACTTCAACTATCGTAAACTACATAATTGTATAAGAAAATGTTTAAACATAAGGAAGGAGATGAAGAATATCTGAATATTTATGATTTGTGCTCACAAACAGGCTTCAAGAAACATTTTAACATGAATTACCAGTCAATGCCTAAAATATGTGTATACTTCTTCCGTTCGTCATTAGTTGACTTGTTTCATTTATCACGTAATATATATCAATATCTCTAATTATCAATAAATAAAAACTGAAAATTTTGATATTTAGAAAATAGACATTGAGAGGAATCTAACATCCCACATGACTATATTTTTATAATTTGTAAATCACAAAACCTGGTCAAAATAGAGATTGTGAGTAGAGTCAAAAGTCTAAACGTGTCAACTAATATGAAACGGGGAAAGTATGTATTTGTACATTAAAGCTCATGTGAAATAACCTTCTACCACTTATGCTGTGTTCCCGCATCCGTGTCCAAATATACATGCCACACATGCAGATATGTACTATTGTACTAGCATCCGACACTCATACCCTTGTCTAAGTAACTTAGGCTCTCGATTTGCAACTGCACCATGTTATGTAAACATTTTTTATATTTCATAATGGCTACTTAGGGTGATCGTACTGATAAACGAGATACAAGTGCCTTTAACACATGGAAGGATATAATCATCCCTGGGAATATTGATGATGGGATGACAAATGGAGCTTCTATAGTCCAGCCTTTGCCACTGTCAAAGCGAAAGTTCTTGGCGAACTTTTTAGGTAGGGCACAAGGGAAGATTGGTCGTCTTCAATTAATTGAGCTCGCAAAGAAATTCCCTGATAAGGTATGTCTGTTCGGCAGTTTGTGTTTATTTCTTGTGATGTATGCTGTTTGTTTGCACCTGGTACTTTATTCTTCTAGATAACCTTGGTGAAATCTTATACTTCCCATGCTCTTTGATTATTGCAACAATTGAGTTTCCATACTACTCACTCACTAGTCACTACCCTTTGACCATACATGTAACTTTGACATAACAAGTCATGTAAAGTCTTGTTATTTTTGTGTTAAACTATATGTACTAATGTATACTTTCAAAAAATCATTATCTTAAAATTATTTAACTTACAGCTAATTGAATTTATTTATTAATGGTTAAAGATGTGTATTGGGATGCATGAAACTCCTATTGTTTCAACAATTGTGTATTGGGATGTAGTATCATCAGATTACGTGTATCTTGAAGAAGCTGTTGGCTTGCCTGTCTATTAAGTAGAAGTTACTGCTACATGATTTGAATGATCTGTGCAGAAGCATACTATTATTGATATAAAAGTCCCTTAGCTATTGAAAGATGGACATTGCATGATCTGCCTTTTTTTCTATTTTTAAGATTACTTGAAATTGCTTTAAAAGTTTCAATATTACTTGGTATTGCTTTAACTTCCTATCTGTGAAAAAAGCTCTTGTGAACTTCTTTTCTAGGTTTGTGTTTATTACTTTCAGTTGGGATTTGAGAGCGGTGATGTATGAATGTAGATTTAGATCCAAAGCTTTCTGCTTGGCTGATTTATAACATTTTATTTTTATCTACACTAGCATTTGATGTATTTGCATCATTCAATTGGAAATGGTGGATTTCTTAAGGCGAAAGATACAAGTCAGTCCTATGGTAGCTATTTAAATGTTCAAGCATTTTTCTGTTCCCTACATGTGGTTCAGCAAGTTTTCTATGATCAAAGATACCCTTCCTATATGCACTAGTCACTTATTATTCATTGACCATAGGAGTGACATTATCAAGTGTCATCTGTATTTGCCTGACAGTTAATTCGCTTTAGTGCATTATTGATGATGGAACTTCGTTGTTCAATTTTTACTTGAATATTTCTTATTTGCATAGGGTTCGGATATATTATAGCTACAAATTTATGTAAATTGATTATATGTACAGTTGGAATCTCCAGAGTTGAAGCTGAGTGGCCCTAACAAACTAGGAAGGAAAGAGTACTTTGAACATCTCCGCAATGCAAAATTCTGCCTAGCTCCCCGTGGAGAATCCTCATGGACCCTTCGCTTCTACGAGTCTTTTTTTGTGGTTTCTCTCTGCCCTCTCTCCCTCCTCTTTTTATGTTCCCACACTATTGGAAACAATCTTGAATGATTCTGTTGAACAGGAGTGTGTGCCGGTGGTGCTGTCTGATCAAGTAGAGTTACCTTTCCAGAATGTCGTGGACTACACCCAAATATCAATTAAGTGGCCATCAACTCAAATAGGCCCTCAACTCCTGGAATATTTGGAATCAATTCCAGGTTAGAATTTGTTAATCTGCTTAATCTTCCACTTGAGGTTTCCTTTACTGCAACATCCTTTGAACCTTGGAATCATACTGATGCAGATAAGGAGATTGAGAATATGATCTCCCGTGGTAGACAGGTGAGATGTTTATGGGCTTATGTTCCAGAATCACAGCCATGCTCTGCTATTAATGGTATTCTTTGGGAACTTCAACGAAAGGTCAGACAATTTCACCAGTCAGCCGAAACATTCTGGCTGCACAACAGAACCATTGTAAATAGAGATTTTATACCATTTTCTCATTGGAAACCGCCAATGCTTTTACCTTAACTTTACTGAATAGTGGAAAATTATAGGGTTCCATATTACTTTTTGTGGAATGAAAAGGATGCTGCTACATATGTAATCTGATGTAATTTGTAGAATATTTATTGAAGGTGATATTGATTAATATCTGAGAAGTGCTTGAAGTTTTGGTGTGCAGACGCAGAGGTGTGAATTTACCATGCCTTAGGTTATACTGTTATAGGGAAAAATCTGTTCAACATGCTGCTGAGTATTCTGATGTAAGTTATAATGGGTCACTGATAGTATTCTTGAATCTTGAGAAGAATGATATAATACTTTGAAGTATCATTGTAAACGTCAAAATTACTATTACAAGCATATATAGTATCATTACAATACTTAATAGAATAATACTCCCCCTCAAAACAATTAACTAATTAACTGCTTAATGAACTTTATAAAATTTTCAAGTATTTGTGAAAAGGCCAAAGGAACGAAAATGCCTACTAGTTCACCCTATGAATGCCTCAAAAGAGTTAACTTTCTTCGTCCTCTAGCTCATACATCTCTTCCACAATATTCTCTCCCTCAAAACAAGTAAACAACTACTACCTCCATTGCTATTTGCGTGAAAAGTGATTAAAATAAGAATGAAATATGTGGGTAGATATATAAATGTAATATACTGTGGTTGAAAAGGATTAAGGTATGTAATAGGATATGCCAAAAAAAAGAGTAAAATGAATGTATAAAGAACTTTAAGAAACAAACTAATTGGAAAAATATTTAGAGCATTTAAGAACAGATTACAATGTTACTTGGTAAGCGATGAAAAGGACCCTATACGTTTGACCTCAAACGGACAAATTAAACCCTTCCTAAGATTTAGATGATTGATGTCCATACAACTTACAATATTCATAAATTTGATACCACACCAAATACTTTGATACTAATTTTATTCTTGAAACTTTATTAATAAATTCATTTTGATACTAAAATAAATATAAATGGAAACCTACCTTAACCACCTTCCTCACCTACTTCCAAAGCCTAGATCTTTAGGCTATGTTTGGATAACAAAAAATGGAAGGAAAGAAAGGGAAGGGAAAGGGAGGGAGACAAAATTCCTTGTTTGGATAATATGTTGGGGGAGGGAGGGATCCATTTTTCCTCCTCCTTTAATAAAGATCAACCCTTCAAAATTGGAGAGATTTGGAGGGAAAATGGAATTCATCATTTCCTCCACTTTCCCTTCCTTCCCCTTCCTCCTATTTCCCTCCCTTCCATTTCCCTTCTAATTTGTTATCCAAACATAGCATTAAACACATACCTTGAAACCCACCTGAACCACCCACCTCGAAACCCCACACGCTTGACCATGAAACGGACAAACCCTTGCTAAGATTTAGATGATGATGTCCATACAACATAACAATTGATTGAAGTTTCTACTGCTGAAATGATGAGTTTAACCCACTAAGTGAACCACCTGAACTTCATTGTATCTTCCGCTCAACCCCCGCCATAGTTTGGCTTTGATTCAGTCCACCCTCATTGCTTACCCTTCTCTGAACCTCCTCGCTCTCCCTAATTTTGCTCATCGTTGTCGCTTACCATTCTCTGAACCCCCCCCCCCTCTCTCCTTAAATGGCACTGTCGTCACCCCTGCCATATGGTATCTTCTTCCTCCGACTCTCATTCACCGCCATATATACAGTAAAATTCAAATTTTCATTTTTGAAATATTTCAAATTGAAATTTCAGAAAATTGAGATGGGCTAAAGTGAAGCAAATTTTTCAACCAATAGAAATGCAGGAAAGTGGTCGTCTATGTGGGGGTACATAATACCTCTATGTGTACCCTTTTCGATAATTGAAGACTCAAGTTAGCGGCCCAGAATACTTCTAATCAAATGGTCGTCAATTTCTGTAAACACAAAGTTACTGGCCACAGTGCAAATGTCCAATTTGAGCCAAAGCCAGAACATGTTAGATTTCAATAATTAGTTAGCACTCTTGGGCTCTTAGCCAATGCCTGTCAAACTGCACACAAGTACCAGAAATACTTTTCAATTTTGATTTATATAATACTCGTACCATACATGTTTTAATAATGAAAAATGGCAAAAACCTAGCTCAATGCAAAAGAAACAGACACTTAGAAATAATATACAGAAAAAGATATTTATTTCCAAATCTAATCAAACAGTGTCACTACCCATGTACTTCAGTTAACAGTATGCAAACTAACACTCTACTCCAATCCTCCCTTCTCAATTCAAGTAATACTTTTGAATTTAACAAATATGCAAACACTCTCCTTCCTACTCAATCCAAATTACAGTCCATCAAAGCACCGATACCAGCTAACTACAGAATAAACAAGGAAATTTCAAATGGGCTATAATTCTGAGAGCAAATTAGAGTTATCCAACTGAAGATGCTGTGGCTGCCAGATGGGTAAGTGCTCGACGGTGATATACGGAACGAAGTTTCTTGTATTTCTGAATAAATGCCCCCAGCTCAATCTCTTTATCAAGAAACTGGCGATGAAGGGCCTCAGATTCCTCATCTGCTTTGTTCACTGCCTCTGCCAAGATAAAGCATGGATTAGTTAAATCAAAGCATTGAGAGATGGTACTCACCTATTCCACTAATAAGCTATTCCTTCGTAAGTTTGTCCTTGCATGCTGAGTTTGTAATTTTACTAATTATTACCCAAATAGTTTAGACTGATAGTTCTATATCCTATTTTTATAGTGGATTTTCAGGTGCTCATCATCCGTTGGTTTGAGGATTTCCCCAACATTAAAATGCGTCCATTTATTATTTTCTTGCCATATTTCATCACCATTTATCTTTGATTCTGCTCGCACTCACAACCATATCATTTCTTTTTGTCAGCTGTTACTCTGGTTCACCAAACCTAATCCCAAGTTCACTTCTAAATTACAAAGGGAATGGTGCTAGGACCTAGGAGTAGTAGCAAGCAAGAAAGGGAATATAAAACTTTCTCCAATAAAACCTGGAGGAATAAAAATCATCATCACCTCTGGCATGTTTTACCAAACACAAACTCACTCTCATTATCCAATTACCTAATGTGGAGCTATAATAAGTCGATACTCAAATTTATTCCCAATCTCAACCCCAAGGCAGGTATGTGCTGAGGGGAAACTTGTACAGGCCCAAGGATAATGTCATTAATCTTTCAAAGTTCATAATGAAATGCTAAAAGCCATTGGAGGAGAAAAGAAAAATGTTCAAATAGATATAACCCAACACACAGCCAATTCAACGCACCATTAAAAAACACAGACATAGCCAAAGTAAAATCCTGAAGCCTCACTTTCCACAGACACTAAATGGTATAACTAATTTTCACAATGACTCCATAAGTGAGCTGAAACATTGGTCTACTATGCTCAAATTTACCTTTTAAGCAGTGCAGAAGTGATGCTGTAGAATAGCACTTCATAATACCCTCTTTTTGTCTCTCCAGATCATTTAACTTCTCCAGAGCATCAGCTAACTCACTTGTGCGAATGATCATGCACTGTAATAATATCATAAACAAAGAATGGTTTGAAAATTTCTGCATATTATATGAATACACTTCACAAGGACATTAATTTCTCCAATTAGCATCAGTCAGCCTCACCTGATTTCTCAGTTCCACTATCTTTGGTTCCTTATCCAAATTCTCCCCTAGAAACAAAAAAAAAAGAATAATAATGTTATGACAAAGATGAGCAGAGAATAGCCAGACAAAAAAATAAAAAATAAACTTACTTGCAAGCTGCAGAGTTGCCTTTTGCAATTCATCTCTAACCTGAAAATTGAAAAAAAGCAGTCAAAAACAAGAAAGAAATATATCAATAGTCATGTACAGACCTTGTTCTAGGGTTTTAGGGAAGTAAGTAACATGGACATCCATAAACACCTTCACCCAAATTGGCATTCTTCAATTTGAGAACAGTATCTAACTTCTACTGAGTACATTACAAAGCTATCTTATAATAAAATAAGTGTCATTTAGTGGCACATACACCTTATTGCTATCAAACGCATGCTCAGACGTTCCATTTTTCTTTCATTTTCATACTTAACCCAGCATCACACTAGGTTCAATGCAATTTTTATTTGAAATGTCATCATGATCCAGATAACTTCCCTTGTGTCAAGACTCTAAGAGTGGCAAAACAAAGTGTGGTATAGAGAGGTACAATGGCTTGCATTAATATATTAAAAATAGAAAACGTGAATCGTCTAAGCCTTGATCACAAAACAACAACAACAACAACAACAAGTGAAATTTTGTAACAATGGTAGATGTGATTCTATTCACTATTTCAAACATCTGGTTCACATAATAATATGCAATCTACAACAAATTATCAAAAATTTAATTTAGGGAATAAAAAATCCTAGATAACTTACATTGTTCTGAGTCTTTACTTGATCAAGAGAGAATAAGAATTGATTGTAGGCCTCCTTGTCATTCAAAAGCTTCCGTAACTCATCAACACTACATCATGACAGACAAGAATTACGGTCAAGCCAAATGGATCATCAACTAATTTCATTTGACAGGAAGGCAGTTCAATATTACAACCACCATAAGAGTAAATTTTAGGTCTTATGATATCTTTAAACCTCAAATTATTTGAGCAGCATTACTAGAAAAGATTTCCTCAAGCTCCCTATATACATAAAGAAACCAAATGTATTACTATTTCTAACTGTCCAAAGTTTCTTTCTTTCTTCTTTTTATTGGGGGGGAGGGGGGTGAGGGACTAGTCTAAGCAATTTATGCTACATATACTAATTACTTTGAGCATCTACACCTTTAGTTATCTAATAGTAAAAAAAAAAAAACAAAAAATAAAAAAGAGTAAAGTTGATGTTTAGAAAAAAAAATACATTAAAATAAACGCAACCACATCTTATATTTTTGTTTATATATTAGCAGAAATAAAATAGTCAAAGTGGAGTGCGTGTGCATAATAAAGTCAATATGATGTGCATGTTATGGGATG